AAGGATAATATTTTGGAACATTTAGACTTCACTGATTTAGATATTTATATAGATTGCATTAAGGGAAAGCAAACTAAACAAATAAAGAAAAATGCCACGAGAAGTAAAGAATTCCTTGAGATTATTCATACTGATATCTACGGACCACTCTATATTCCTTGTTTTAGTGGAGAAAAATATTTCATCACATTTATAGATGATCTGTCTAGATATGACAAAGTTTATCTAATACATGAAAAGTCTCAAGCCGTTAATACTCTTGAAGTATATATAAATGAGGTTGAGAACAATTAGATAGAAAAGTTAAAATTGTCAGATCTGACAGAGGTGGTGAATTTTATGGCAGATATGATGGATCTAGTCAGAATATTGGTCCTTTTGCTAGATTCCTAGAACAACGAGGTATTTGTGCTCAATATGCATTACCAGGTGTGCCACAGCAGAACGGTGTTGCTGAAAGGCGAAATCGTACTCTGATGGATATGGTTAGGAGCATGATGAGTTATTCCTCTGTACTTGAGTCAATGTAGGGTGAAGCTCTTAGGACAGCTATGTACATCTTGAACAGGGTTCCTAGTAAGTCAGTTTCATCGACTCCATTTGAGTTATGGACTGGTAGGAAGCCCAGTCTGAGACATTTACATATTTGGGGATGTCCTACAGAGATAAGAGTATTCAATCCACATGAAAAGAAATTGGAGCCAAGAACTATTTCAGGATATTTTATTGGTTATCCAGAAAAATCCAAGGGATACAGATTTTATTGCCCTAATCATAGTATTAGAATAGTAGAATCTGGTAATGCAAAATTCCTAGAAAATGGCAAAATCAGTGGGAGTGAAAAATCTCGAAGGGTTAATTTTGATATTGAGGAGATTCAGGTTAATTCTCCCATATCATCTCCTGTCCGAGAGATTGTTGTTCCTCAAATCAATGAGAGTATTGATGAGGGTGAACAACAAAATAACATCCAAGAACTCTCACATGATGTTGATGTCGCCGCTGATGATCTTGTAGAACAATCACAATTGGTAGATTTGAGAAGATCTCAAAGGAAAAGGAAACATGTCATTTCTGATGATTATGTTGTATATCTACAAGAATCAGATTATGATATAGGAATAAAAAGAGACCCCTTATTGTTTTCACAAGCCATAGAAAGTAACGATTCTGAAAAATGGTATGATGCAATGAAAGAAGAGTTAAAATCAATGGTACAGAATGATGTCTGGGATCTCGTTGAATTGCCCAATGATTATAAAAGAGTCGGTTGTAAATGGGTCTTTAAGACAAAACGTGACTCAACGGGCAATATCGAACGATATAAAGCCAGACTTGTGGCCAAAGGTTTTTCTCAGAAGGAAGGCATCGACTATAATGAGACTTTTTCTCCTGTTTCTAAAAAAGGACTCATTGAGAATCGTTATGGCATTAGTAGCTCATTATGATCTTGAGTTGCATCAGATGGATGTGAAAACATCATTTCTGAACGGGGATCTGGATGAGGAAATCTATATGGAACAACCTGAAGGATTCATAGAAAAGGGAAAAGAAAGTTGAGCTTGTAAACTTAAGAAATATATTTATGGCCTTAAACAAGCTTCCAGACAATGGTATATAAAGTTTCATAATACCATTACTTCCTTCGGATTTAAGGAAAACACTGTTGATCAGTGTATATACCTGAAGGTAAGTGGGAGCAAGTTTATTATATTGGTCTTATATGTGGATGATATTTTACTTGCCAGTAGTGATCTTGGTTTATTGCACGAAACCAAGATATTTCTCAACAAGAACTTTAAGACGGTTGATATGAATGAGGCATCCTATGTTATTGGCATTGAGATATTCAAAGATAGATCTCAAGGATTATTAGGATTGTCTCAGAAAGGATATATTGATCGTATCTTGGAGAGATTTAATATGCAGTTTTGCTCAACCAATGATGTACCTATTACTAAAGGTGAAAAATTCAGTCAAAACCAGTGCCCAAGAAACGACTTAAAAAAGAATCAAATGAAGAATATTCCTTATGGATGCGCAGTTGGAAGTCTATTATATGCTCAAACCTGTACAAGACCAGATATCAGTTTTGCAGTTGCAATGCTGGGAAGATATCAAAGCAACCCAAGAATGGAACATTGGAAAGCTGCAAAGAAAGTAATAAGATATCTACAAGGGACAAAAGATTATATGCTTACATACAGGAGATCTGATCAGCTTAAAGTAACTGGATATTCAGATGCTGATTTTGCAAATTGCCTCGACAGCAGGAAGTCCACTTCAGGATTTGTATTTATGTTAGCTGGTGGGGTAATTTCTTGGAAAAGTATAAAGCAATCGCTTATTGCATCATCAACAATGGAAGCTGAATTTGTGGCATACTTTGAGGCCACAAATCAAGCTTTATGGCTGTGAAATTTTATCTCAGGACTTGATGTGGTCGACTCAATTACCAAGCCGCTGGAGATATTTTATGATAACACCGCAACAGTTTTCTTCTCTAAGAATGGCAAGTACTCTAGTGGTTCCAAGCACATTGAGATAAAGTACTTGGTGGTTAGAGAAAGAGTCCAGAAACAGCAAGTGTCAATTTAGAACTTGAGCACCACTATGATGATTGCTGATCCATTGGCAAAAGTCTTACAGTACAAAATATTCAAAGAACATGTTCTTAGAATGGGGCTTGTGAGCAAGTCATAAAGGATATGGTGATGCATGTTTATGTGGATGCTATTATTGACATTTTACTTAATTAAAGTTATCTGTTTCTGCTATCCTGTTTACATTTATGTTTATGCATATTATGGTTGAATGTAATAACAAGATTGTCTTGACAAGATAAATTACAGGGGTTATTATGGACTATGTTAGGAAAGACTAATAATGTTATGGTACATAGAAGAAAGTATGACATTGATGAAATACAACCGCTATGACTCGCATTGATAGTTGGACTTAATATAGTATTATTGTGTTTATTGGACTTATTGACTTATTTTTAAAACATGGCCATGTATAAAATGCTTTTCAAAATTTCTTGGAATCCAATTAGGTAAAATTATTTTTAAACAAATTTTGTTTTGTTTGTTTTGATTTTGTATCTCTGCCAAGTGGGAGAATGTTAGAATATGTGGTCATTTTATGATTGAATAAGATATATAATAGAATAACTAATTGGGTTCCGTTCAAATATTTTAGCCAATAGACTAAGTCCACTACGGAACGATTCCTCGGAGATATCCTTGATGGGTAGACCCTCTGCTCTCGCCTATAAAAGGACAGGATCTCTAGGGGTTGAGGGTGTGTTAGAGCGTCATAACGTTGACACGTATAGACGCACCTCTCCGTTGAGGGATTCTAAAGGATAGGAAGAGAGGAAAAAGGGTCTACTCTCCTTGCAGATTAAAGACGGTGCTTGCAGCTATTTTGGATTAAAGACGGTGCTTAGCAGATCAACGGGATCTCTGAACATATGACATCAAAAGGTACGCATCGTATAATTAGATCTATGCATTGATTTCAATCCTGGCATATAGGTTATTTCCATATTATTGACATAGCATAATTACATATCTTTATGCTTACAACATGCTCACCACTATGCTAAGCTTTTGGGTTCCCTTTCCGTGGAAAAGAAGATAGAAGATGTGACACGGTGTTTAATATGAGGTTTCCTCCATGTGAACGACGGAGAGATGATTGATTCCAGTCCTCGGAAGCCACTGGACCAATCCCTGACATGAAATTTTGGATTAGGCAATCAGCTGACTAACGAAGTTTAAAAGCAGTGTTTGTTCAAAGTGTGGTCTAATAAATAAGTGCGGCATGGTTTTTGTTTTCGTGTTTTTTTGTTTTTGGTTTGTGATTCGAGACACCTATCCACGAGGACCAAACGACCGGAAACGACGGCCCATTAATTAGCCATTACACAGATTTGGGCCTGCTGACGTACAACTGCTAAATAGGTCAGAATAGGATAAGTTAGGGCACAAACTTATAGAGGTCCCATAACGCCGTTAGCGTTCCGTTTTAATTGTAGCTATGGGTCCTCAGCGTCTTTACGAACGACCTTTCCAGCCGTCGCATGCCCCAGTTATTAGCATGCACCTTTCTGTCGGCCACCATCTGCCTCGCTATCTCCTTCGCCACCAACTCTCCAATACCACCAAACCAACCATCATCAACCCGCTTAACCACACGTCTCGTTCTAATCCATAGGATTTGGGGCGCATTTATTGTCAGGACATCCTGTAAATAAATTACTGTGGGTTTCGACAGAGGATTTCAAGTGGGGAATTCGGGCCCACGGGAAATGGTTGAGCGAGGCGGGCGGCCCAAGATTTGTAACTGACGCAACACTGCTTTCGATATTTGTCGCGTCCCCCTACGCATCCGCTGCATGCACCCGTCTTCGCTACCAGAAAGATAAGATTTGCATGGCATAGGATAGCCGCTTTCACTGCATCAGTATGCATGCATTGTCCGACCAAGCACCGATTTCCGATCGATATGTGCCGACGATCGTTTTATTTATACACATATGCTTAGTTACATTATTTGTATCTCGATTTGTCACGCGAGGTGACATCGTCCTGGCAATTAACAGCGAAAGAGAGACGTTCACGAGGCCACACGGGAGTGAGTCGAGACACGTATCGCAATGACACTCGACACGATCGCTTCTCCGCCACGCGGAGCTTTCCACACCCCAACAAATGTAACAGCCTGTAAAAGGCATTCTTTCCTGACGACAGCTGCACGCCCTCGTCTCTCCGCATCCGCACGCCAAACGCCCTCTCCCCATCCAAACCCGTGCACGTCACGTGGCGTGCAACCCCCTCCCCTCGTCTCAGCCGAACAACGGCGGTGAGCATAACAACGGGAATATTCGAGGCTGTTTCCACCCTGCGCAATCCAATGCTCGGTTCTCGCTCGCAGTCAGAAGGCTTCGAATGATCCACACATCGTCTCTCCGCATAGAAGAGAAGGCCTTCGAATGATCATGGAACAAATGCTCATTCAAATATCACTCTAGAATTTACACTCCCGACTCATGCAGAATACGCCTAAAAAGACGCTACAAACAAACTCAAATCGGTCAAGGACAACAAAGCAAAGAACACATCTCCGGCTACTGTTCTTGGTTTTGGCTTCGGCGTGGGCTGCCGTCACCTTCCATCTGGATACGAACACTGATGGGTGAAGGTACCGCTCCCTCCTGCTGCTTGTTTTCTCCGTCGATGTTCTTGTCGGCATCAGTACGGTTGTCAACGGCGCGGCTGGCGATGGGGATGGCAAGGAAGGTGGGGGTGCAGTCGCCGGCCATGATGACGAAGAACCGCTCCTCGGGGAAGGCGGGGTCCTTCCCGGAGGAGGCGTCGTCGTGCTTCTCGTGGTCAGATTGTTCGGTGCCGTCACCGGACTCCAGGAAACTGGAAAGCTTCCAGTAGGAGCAGGCAAGAATGAGTAGGGCTAGCGCTACGAGGCCCATCATCGCCGCCAGCCCGCCGAAGAGGTAGGGAACCGGGGAGTGCCACGCCGAGTGAGGCACCCCGTGGGCGTAGGCCGGCGCTGCTGCCGTCGTTGCGCCGTTGTTCCCATGGAAACCGTCTCCTGTTCCCATACTGCTTGCTCTCTTTGATCCCCCCAGAGAGAGAGAGAGAGAGAGAGGCGGTGACTTGGGGATGAGGAAACCCGGGAGGATGCACCAAGGAATTTATAAGTCAGACCTAGTGCTGCGCAATATGTGGCTAAACGAGGAAGGGACCTGTTTCTACTTGGTTTTACTGATTCCCTTATTTATCTTTCGATGATATTTGGCCTTTATATGTAAGCATATTTAGTTGACAGCAACATATGTATATGTATATATATATATATATATATATATACATATATATATATACATATATATATATATTATACATTTATATTACGTTAAAAAAATATAATCTAAATATCTTGCAACAGTTAGCACTTTCAAAGTATGTGGTAAATAAAAGAAGTATTATTATATTACAACATATAATGGTGAACCGAGTAATAAGTAAATGGGCATATAAAAGTAAGTACCTTTTCTTCTCTATTTCTCTGTGTAATATCGTGACAAGTAAACTTAGTACACTTATTGTTACGGATGACATTCGTAGCACAGGTAAACTTAAAAGGACATGCATCCAATGATGAGGAAGCGTATGGTCAAAGAATGCGAAAAAGTTGTACGTGAGACATGAACCGTGCCGGTAATCCTTACGGCATGCATACAATTAAAGGACGCTGGAAGCAGCAAACATATGTGCCCTTCATCGCGTAGCACAAGATGAATCACTTTGTGGATACATTAAGTTAAGATATAGGGAAATCTTCGTGCGCCATCATGGCCAGGTACGGTGGGATGATGGAACGGGGTGTCGATGGAGGGAAGGGACGAGAGCAGATAAAAGGAGCCAACACAATGATTCAGCCAACGGGACGGTGGGCTCGCATGCTGTCTCTGTCTCATCACTACTCGGACTTCCTTCTGCCGATGGAGTATCTGAATTCCCGGGAAGCGAAGGCATTAGAGTTTGCTGATTGCACGGGACGATGTGAACAAAGAGGAGACGGACTCCACCACATCTGGCCTCATTAATGGCGAAACGGAAGCCCATGGCTCGGAGCCACACCTGGCCGACTGTTGTTGGAGCTCACATTTCCTCATCCCTCTCGAACTCTGCCTGCTTTTAGGTTGGGTAGTTGCGTGTAGATACGGGTATGAAGCATTGACCACCCTCACCATCACCCTCACCCTCACCCTCACCACCCTCTCTCAGATTTGCTAATCCTCGTCAGCTTTCCACTGGTTCTGAACTCAAATCGAAGGTGGGATTAGCTTATATCGCCATCCTCGCGGGCCCCACAGCTTTATCGTTTGCCTGCCACCCAAGTCGAGCGTCCACGCAAGACAATCACTATGAGACCGGGGGACGCCATCTTCGCTTTCTCAGGTCTATCAACCAAAAGGGTAGGCAGAGAAGACAATTAAAAAGTGACATCCTTTTTCTCATCGCGGGGACGACACACTTCGTCCTGTAATAATCTATGGGATCTCAGCATCTCGACTCTGCAATAATCGATGGGATCAAACAGTACCGTGGCAAATTTGGACGACACAGCGTTGCCAAACTTTATGGGACACCTGAGGCCACTTCCTGTGGTTGCTTGTTGCCGCAACGCTCGACGTGGAGGATAAAGGAGGTCGAATCGGAAGTCACTACAACGACTCAATCCAATTTCTTACTGGCCTTCTTAATCTATAATTTCTGGCATATATTTTGAGCTTTTCAGATGTGAAAACACACACACACACACATATATATATATATATATATATATATATATATATATATAGAGAGAGAGAGAGAGAGAGAGAGAGATCCATAGGATGATTCTTAAAGAGTGCGAGGCATTGAGCATACCTTCCAAGAACTCTTATAATACGCGACATGAAGATAAAAGAAATATTTAATTAATGGAAATTGACAGGATCAGGATCAGCTAATCCTCCTCCCACTTTCTAGGGGACTCGGAATGAAGTGGAATCAAGCTGGTGTGTGTGCATTATGTACAGCATATATCTTTTGCCTGTGAGTGATGTGATATCTGAACAGAACTAAAACAGCTACTAAAATTTTGATGTTCATCGTCATGCAACTCGACAGCGGATTGGATTGGACAATCCAGAGTTGGATTATGATCTTGAGTTGGGCCACATGTTGATTGGTTGGATCAAGTTGGATTTGGGGTCGGCCTTTGGAGTGATCTCAACCCAGAGAGACGCAGGAGTTGGATTTGGAGAATTTGGTGGCTCAAACCTGCAGTACATTAACATCATCGGAGAGAATGAAGGATCACAGTTTCATGCTCTTCTAATTGACTGACCATACTAATTCGTGTAAATTATGCATTTAAAATGGGAATCATAGAGGTCTCATCCAACCGATGCTAATGTTATGTGATGGAGTCACCACCGTTCCAATGGGGTTTACTGTAAAAGCTTCGACTATACGAGTTATTATCCGCCTTCGTATTATGAATCTCTGTAGCAGTTTTACGCGGTTTGGCCGACACGACAATCCGCCAACTTTGCCGGCCATCTCTTGCAAAGTGATTATTAGTTCTTTAGCGTCCATGACAGGACGTCGAGGAGGAGGAGGACACGCATCCCTTTCCAACATCCAATTATCCTGTTTTAATTGGTCCATCGTCTGAGCTCACCTCCTCCGTACCTCTCCATGTGGGTTACAGAAGAAACATCCAAATCCAAGGAGAGGCAACCTTCACATGGGACGGCCATACGCTTGCTAAGCGATGGGCTTTGCCTTTTATTGAACCCACCGCCTCCGTCAACCTCAGGCTTCACTGTAACCCCTTGTTGCCATGTCTCCCTTGGCTGCTGCTTCTTCCTCCGTCCTTCCTGTCCTCCACACACAGTTGCACTCCCCATGGGATAAGTAGACATCAGAATGAAGCTGTAACCACACACCAAGATGTGATCAAGATTCTCTTTTCAGACATGGCTGCTGCCCATCCACTGTGGGAAGCAAGCATAAAGGCAATGGATGGAAGCACATATACTACAGATCGGAGCAGGTCATCCTCTGCTCATCTTGAAATGTCCGAGGGTCTCGTCTTGTTGGGAAGGAATCAGCCTTCCTAGATTGTGGTGGTGATGCACGTTGCCCATTTAAACTACTATTTATTTATTTATTGATGTATGGACCCAAGCTCATCGCTGTGGCCGATGCCCACTGTTCCAATCATACGTAGAAGGGGCCATGGAGACGGAGAAAGACGGTTCTTGGTTGATTCCAGTGTTCAAGCCTCGAAGATGTTGTTGCTGTTCATGAACTTTGAGCTTATGCTGAAAGGTCTTGGGATGTGTCTCTACCACCATCCTTCTCTTTTCCTCCCAACTCTTCACAAAAATCTATACACATAAATAGTGTTCGTAGCGATTTCTTCTTGTTGATTAGTAGCTTTGGTAAGTGATGAAGAGTCCATTACACATCTTGTTTAACTCTTGAATTCTGCAACAACAACACAAAAAAGAAAACACTTGACCACTCTCTACCCACACTTAGATGTGTGGGGATGAGTTGATTGATTGAGGGTGGCTGCCGCCACAGCTCATTTAATGATTTGTATGTGCCAAAAAAATCAAGGTATCCTGTGACACTCCTCTGCTTGGAGCGTGTAAAGATTGAATCTAACTCGGGTGCTGCTCTGGGATACATCCTGAACATGGTATTGAAGACCACAGCAAAAGAGTGATGTTAAGAACGCTAATGTTCTGAACAAAATGAACCAAAAGAATATCGATGAACATACAACGAGTATTCTTAGCGTGATGAGTTTATATGGGTGTTTAATCTTCTCCAACCTGCTATACCTATCGACAGTCAGTCAAGTTCTTCCTCTTGACGTGAACTCACTACTCCTCTAACGAGTTACGAGAAATATACACATATATCCTCCAAAAAAAATGAAGTTTCTACAGCCCATCAACTGCCATGGCCATCATCAACGGCGATGGCAACCGTCGTCGGCAGCCAATCCTTGACGCAGCTCCTCTGCACTCGGTCTTCCTTCCCTGTGGATAGCCGAGCGACTACCACCCGGCCACCGACTTGCGGATGATCCTTCAGCTGCCTCAAGCTAGGGGCCAACACTCTCTCGGCCCAGTCATCAAAAGCCGCACCGCTGAGCCATAAACCACCAACGATTCGGTCGACAGCATCCTCGTCGATCTTTATTGCTCGCCCTTTGCCCATTATGGCGGTAAATTTCACGGATATGGACTCGACTACGTTCCTTCTCAGCGTGACAAAGTCCACCGGCTTGAATGTTACAGCTTCATCCACCAATTCCACCAGTTCTGAGGCCAAGGACGACGTCGAACACTTGCTGACCAGCCTGCCCTTATCGTATTCACGCTCACTGGTGAGGTCGCTCGAGTTCCATGATCCCTCCCCGGACTCTGAATCGATTCCAGCTGCTAGATTCAGATCGAGCGATAGGTTGGTGCCAACCAACGATTCCGTTCTCAGCTTAATCGGCTGATCATCTTCACATAGCCAAGTTGGACGACGTTTCCCGGGCCTCTCCCCTGCTGTAATCTCCAGTTCCAGGCCACGATAAGCTGAATCCAGTATCCTTTCCTCACGCTTGAGGAGTGGGTAATAGGAGCTCTTCAGCTCTTCCGGCAGCCAGTCTGCGGTAAGGACAAAGATAACACTCCCCATGCTGACCTCCCGGCCGTATGAATCGGGCAGGCGGCCCCTCTCTATCGCCTGCTTAATCTTACCCTGTAGGAGCATGTCCGCTTGATCTACGTCCTCGAGCACGATCACCGAGAACGGGTTTCGCCGGACCGCCTCCACGACTCGGTCCACGGATGTCCTCCCACGGAAGCTCAAATTGGATTCTCCATCGTTGCCGCAGGTGCACGAAGCACGTCCAAAGTTAATGACGGTAGGTCCAACGCCAAACACCAGCTCCGATAGAGCACCTGCCATCTTCCTCTTACCAACCTTGTCGGGCCCAACGAGAAGAAGCCAAGTATCACCTTTACCACCACCACTCCGCCGCTTTCCGTTCACAGACTTGCATTGCATGACAACGGTAGCGATGGCTGATGCTGCTTCCTGCTGCCAACTGACTTTCTCGGAAAGCCCCTTGAATAGCCTCTTGAACATGTCGATGTCCAAATTGCCGGAAATTTTAGCGCTCTGCTGCACAGAGAAAGCGTCCTGCATGCACCCGGTGAAATCCTTGAGGAGCTCTTTATGGATTGTGTCCGATGAAGAATCGGCAACCTTTGAGCTCCCGAGGACCAAGTCGGTTTTCACTGGGCTCCCCGAAGGGCTGGTAGGCTGCTTGGCTGCATCCCTGTTCTGGTTGCTTGCCAACTGAAGGGGAGAGAGGCATCGAGATAGCGTGGACATGGGCTCAGATGGTGGATGTGGTCTCAACACGCTTGAAGTCTTTGACGGAGCCGGAGCCAAAGGCAGCTTGGAGGCGAGGTGCAACTGATGGATGTTGGGATGAAGACGGGAACATGTCTCACACCATCGCTTGAGCAGCTCTTCTTCCATGGACTACACCACAATATCGTTCAATTGTAAAGCTGCAACAAGTAATACGAAATTGACGTGATTGCGCATCGTGATATGTCACCAATCGAATCGAAACCTGAAGAGGAGCAGATGAAGACTCGGTGCCGCCTCGCAGCCACTGAGGTAATGTCTGACCCGCCTCCGTCTTTGTAGTGTAGTCAGACACCTTGGCGACGAGCTTCGCCAGTTCGAGCTCGTATCTCTCCAGACAGAGAGGGCAGAGGGTTGTCCTTTGCGAAGGAATGGTGCTCTCGGGTGGTCGACTTGAGGCTACAGCAGCGGCACCCATCCCCATTAAACCTTTCGCTGGCGCTGAAGTCCCCACAGAGTCGCCAAGCACGCCACTGCTCTCGGGCCTACAATTCGAATCAAGAAGAGGCTTAGTTCAACCTTCACTTCACTGTGTTGGTCTTCAAACCACTAGAAGATCTTGAAGAAAAGGGGAGAAAAATGGAGAATAAGCAGCTATTCTATATGCAACTGCAAGAACTACTGTTCTTGAGCTCCTTATTTCATTCAGAAGAATCCACGACAGTAAAATCCTTCCTAGAATGAGGGAAAGAAGGTATTCGACAACCAAATCCCAACGCTGTCGAATTCATCCTACAAGATTAGATATTTCCACCGTAATAAGCGCAAGGACTCCCGACAGATAGACATGAACCGTCCATCAATGGATTTCCAGATGAAGAAACTGCAGAACTAAATGCAGTCGAAATGGTTGATTTAAGGATGCTGAAGGCGATGAGGCAAAGAGGAGCGGCATATAATAACCATCAGTAGGCAAGAAAGATCTCACCTTGGGAACATATTGGGGTGGGATGATCTCGGTGCGATCGGTACCGCCTGGAGATCCCAATCCTTCTCCATTGTCGGGTGGTACACTTGGCACCGGAGGTAGGTCGCAGAAGCTGCTGCGCCGACGAGCCACACCCGACCGCCATCGGCGAACCTCTTCAATAGTCTACCCATTTCCTCCACCGCAGCCCGGCCAACCTCTGAGACGACCGGCTTCGGCAGCTGCATTGGGCCAGAGCCCGCCGAGACGGCGGGGCTCTCTACGAGCCATTTGAGGTCTCCCAGATCGAGAATCACACCGCGGCCGCTGCCACAAATCATGGACTCGATTGAGCTGGTGAGCTCTCTGATTTTAATGGTGATCTGTGATTGGTCTGGGGAGGTGGTGGCGATTTCCTTTCCGAATGGGACAACTCGGGTGTTCCGCAGCAGCGACGGGCCGTCGTCGGATTGAATCCTTCGTAGCACTTCTCTCATCAAGGCATCAGGATTGCAGTCTCCAACGGGGATGGGGTTCCGCTTTTGGGATCTCAAGAGGATATCCAAGACCCGCTTCACGTCCTCCGTCCGCGGCTGATCGCCGCAACCTTCGACTGAGGTTGGGACGTCGCAGGCATTGTTGTTCTTGCGCTGCTGGAGGCGGGGATTCATGTACAGGTTGCGGAAGGGGGCGGCACTGCTAGTTAGACCGGGAACGAGAGAGGCGACGGGAGAAGGAGAGACGGTGGCAAGAGAAGCAATGAATGGCGGGGAAGCGGAGGCGGCGGTTGCAGCAGAAGAGGAGGAAGAGAGAGATTGCTCGACGACCGCTTTGGCGGCGGTGGAGGTGAAGCTGGCCTCGCGCATCACGCGGCTGACGGAGGGATCGTCGAGGATCGACATGAGGAGCTGCTCCAGCTCGACCTTGACTGCGAGGAGCGGCTGCTGCTGTTGCTCAGGGCATCCGCGGCGCTGGTTGGCCTGGGCGCGCTTCAGGGCCGCCATGAGTGCGTTGGAGATGGGAGGCTCCGCGAGAGCGCCGGCCCTGCTGCGGCCGTCAGCGCCGGGATTGGAGGCAGGGAGGCGGTCGAGGGCGACGGAGAAGCAAAGCTCGAGGGCGCGGCACTGCAGAGGGTGAGAGGACTGTGGGTGGGAACGGATGCAGGCCTGGCGGAGGAGGCCGGAGGGAGCGGCGAGGAAGGTGGCAGCGACGTGGAGCGGCGTCGTCTGCCCGTGGTTCCGCCGAGCAGCCTCAGCGATGGAGCAGGTGAGGACGCTCGCCGCCTCCGGCGTCAGCGTCTGCTGGATCGTGCTCAACCCCGCCCTCATCTCCTCTCCCTCTCTGTCTCTCTCTCTCTCTCTCCCACCCTCTTCTAATCAACCAAACACATCGGAAATAATCTTCCGGTTGCCAAAAATCTCAACTTTTCCAGCTTAAGACCAATAAGACTCCATTAAAAAAACCAGTCTTTCCTTTACCTCCACCCTGCTTCTATTCAGTGATCAAGAAACAAATGAACAAAGAAAGACGGACGGATTTATCAGAAGATAAAAGAAAGCTCCGGATGAAGAATTTCAATCAGAAGAAACCATGTCTGAACATGCCGAGGTTGTGAGAGAACAACTGATGGAACAAAGTTAAGGCAAGAACAGACAGCACAAGAAAGCTAGCCCAAATTTTCTCCTTTGCTTCCAATAGGAGATGGTACCGACGTAAAGAGGAAGGAAGATGAGGGAGGTGGAATGGAATCTTCCTCTCTCATTTTGCTGCTCATTCCATTTTCCTGTTCACCTCTGAATGGATCTGCTTGCGAACTGGAAAAACAAAAAAAGGCATAACTCAGAGAGAGAGAGAGAGGATTTTTGGGACGATGGAGTTGGCTTTCTACGAAACAAAACAAAAGCCATTCCGTCGTCACCCCCTTAGCCCACCAAAGTAAAGCATCTCTCTCTCTCTCTCTCTCTCCTCTTTTTCCCCTCATTACTTGTATAATCCAGTCTATCTTTTTCCCTTTAATTACTTGTCGCATTGTGATACGGTTATATTTAAGTACTGTTGACATAATCTCTGCGCTTTCCTCAACTTCTGATCCCTTTTTACTCCCACTATTCTTCCTTTTCTTCTCGTCAACATCCTTCCATTTCTCCCAGCTTCGCCGTCCGACTGCTGACCGCACTCTTACTCTGTCTTCCTCCCCAAACTCTCAATGCACATTTCCTATTGATTTCTTTCTCTCCCCTGCTTGGAAACATGGACACCATTGTCTTCTCTCACTAGTTTATACAAAGTGCCGTTAATTAACAACGGAAACACATGATTAGATTTTAATATTGCTTGTTGCAGTAATCCTTATCACCACCAAGAAATCATCATCATCATCATCATGATTCCCCCCCCCCCCCTCTCAGTTCCACCACCCTGCCGCCACGCCATGAAGCCCGCGCCCGCCCGCACGCTCATCTCTCTCTCTCGTCCGTTCTCCTCCCCTTTTACGCGTCCATCGAGGCCCTCGGTAAGGCCAGGAGTGGAGCTACGTGCACACACATCTTCTGTTCTCCCCTGCCATGTTCTCAGCTTTTCATGTCCAACTCTGCTTTTCCCCTCTCCTCCTCCGCTTGCCCACTTTTGGGATGTGATCTCTCTGTGGCCCAGACCTCATCTGCATTGGCCACAGACCCACAAAAATGCTCTCTCTCTCTCTC